GTACTAACCTGGCTCCTTTTGCCTACGTTATCAATCGCACTAACAGGAAACAGATCGCCAGAAAATCAGAAGGAACAATAACCTTTAACACAGGGCATCAATAATCAGGAGGAATTATGGCTTCCAGAGCCAGCATGGCACCTATGAACAAGGCTTCAGAGTTTAGGTGGGTTTTAGTTTAACAATACTGTATTTAAAATCGGTTTAATAGACACAGCCGTCTCATACAGGAAGAGCCATTCCTCCTCTGCTCCAATTCCCCCACTCTTCCTTCCCAAAAGTCTGCACTAAACAGTAGCCATGACCAAAGCACGCACTGGAAAGTTTGTCTGACAGACACATTGGCTTCTCATCATTCAGGCAATGCAGATATGCTGCACATGCCGGAAAATTGTGAAATAAGTCATTGCACTATGATGTAATTTTCCTTTCCTTTACTAGGTGTTCAAAACTATCATAGCATCTCCAACTTCTTCCTTATCGTCAGAGCACAACTCTATGGGAGCAGTAACATCAGCTCCCTTCCTCCTTCTGGGCAAAGTTTTTGCACAGATCCATAAATGGAGTTCAAGAAATTTCACAAATTATTTTACTTATGGAGCCAGAGGTAACTTAGCTACAAATTCACCGTAAAAGCTTAAAATGAGCCACATCACAGCAGCGACAACGTCCACCGAGCCCAGTACTCTGTTCACAAACCAGCACTAGATACCTCCCTAGGGATCTGTACAACGGTAAGCACACAATGCTTCTTCCTAGGATAATCTTCCAGCTCCAAAAATTTCCAAATCTGACTTCTTGAATCAGAGGTCCTCAAGAGACTTTTCTTCTATAAATTCAATCAGCCATTTCTCAGATCCATAATTAAGACTGACAGCCCCTAATGCAAAGAGATCCACTGCTCAACCATGGACTCTGTGAAGAACCACTGACTTTGCGTATCCTGCACCTGCTGTTACTTCAACAGCCCTTAATTCTTGTACAGAACAATGAACAAAAATCACTTCATGTTCACCTCTCTTCTGCCGCTCACAACTCTACAGGTGTTCATCACGTCTCCGCTCAGTCCTCCCATTCCTAACCCAAAGAGCCCTACTCGCTCATTCCTTGTACAAAAGCTGTCCCACACTTTTAATCATTCTGCTCACTCCTCTATGAGCTTCTTTCAGTTCTCCTGCATTTTATGACATGAAGGGGAACTGGCATTGAAGACGGTGTTCAAATGCAAATGATCCATCTATTTATATAGTAAGATAATGTTTTCTTTTTAGTTCTTTTCCTAGCATAAAACTGGCTTTTGATCTAATGAGGACTGAGCAGATGTTTTCATAAATTATTATAATCCCAAAAACTCAGAACTCAGTGGAAGTCATCAGGTCACAGAGCATTATTTTATAAGAGAAGTTTAAAAAGGATATGGACTTTGCACTCAGCAAAGACGGTGGTAATAAATGAAGCCTTCAATGACAAATAAAGTTTCCTACGTGGCTCAACTGTGATCCAGGAAGGGAACTTATTCCACAGATCATACACATTGATCAACCCAGTAAACTTGGGCTTTTCAGCAGAATTTGCCAATGAGCTTAAAGCAAAATGACCTGCAAACACAAGGCCTGTTAAATTAATCTATCAGAGCCAAGGAAATATTGTTTCCATCTGATGGATAACTCCTAATCAATTGGACTAGTTTCATATGTCTCAGTCTCACCAGCAATGTCCAGATGCATCCAGTGGTTAACCTTTAGACATGCTTTTTCTCCCTAGAAACATCAGTTTACTAAATCAAGTTCCAGACTTCTAGAAGTTTGTACAGATCAGAGTCTTCCGTTTTCCACATACAGGAAATTTGTCAATATACACCCAACCACAACCTGTGACACCCTCTTCTTAATAAACATTCTGCATTAACCAAAACATAAACAGCAACTGCAAAACACCATGTTATACTGGCACAGCAGAAAACTTAGAAGCCAACCTGGATGAAACACTTCTTACGGGTCAGTCTGGATTTTATCTTAAAGGGCTGTGGATATTATTCCAAGATCTGAGGGTAATATGGTTAAACATGGACTATGCAGTTGTTTAAAGCCCACAGTTTTCAGTTCACATCATTTTCACTGCACTCTTCAACTATAAGTCGAAGCAATTTTGTTAGTGGAGGAAAGTATAAATTTAAGCTGACAAGAGCCACCCAAAGAGTGAAGCAACTACTTAGAAAGTAGCTCAGGACCACAGGGCATCAGGATTGCATTCCTGGGTCTGGCTTGCAGTGACCTGTTGGTGAAGCCAGGCGTAGCAGCAGCCCTGTTTTGGATGCCTGCAGGAAACAGTAGCTACTGGACACAAGAACCTGAGCTTCTACCACTTCAGCTAAAAAGATCACTCACATCCATTTTTCAGGCAGTAGTAGACCTGCTGTGTGTTTCAATACCAGAAAGCTCAGAGACTCACAGTGGTGTAATCCAGACTAGAGAGCGCTTAATTTGGACCCTTTGGCCAGTCCTCAGAAAGGAGCTGCAGTCTTCACTACTTATTAGAAAGCAGCATATCAAGATCACAAACAATTCAGTTCCTATCTAGCACAAACACTGCACGAAGTTTCAAGTCAGTTTTGTTACACACTCATATTCAGGAGCACAGAAATAGGTAAAACGCAGGAGGAGTTCACAGCAGCACGTTTCAAGTTTCTGCGATAGTGATAAGAAGCATTAGAATGCAATGCACTGGCTCGGAAAGGAGAATCTTCCCAGTGTCCTGCTCCAGAGCTGCACATGCTTTTCTCGGCTATTGAGAAACACGAGGCTTGCATGATTAAATTAGATTACTAGTGGTTCCTTTTTTCAAATCTAAGTAAAGCTAACCTGCTTATGAACGTGTATTAAGTCTTTCGCTATCTAGACGGAAATTCGCTATGTTTTTAATAAGTTTGCTCTCTGCACTTTTATGTCTATTCCTTAAAATACAGAACAGGTTCAATAATCATTAGATTGTTCACTCAAGGAAACCAATGCTTTTGGTGTTGGTTTCCAGTTTTATCAGTCTAGAGATGTCAAATGATTTAAAAAAAAACAACAACCAACCAACCAAAAAAACCAAAACAGATTAAGTGATCACAGGACAGAAATTCAGCAAGACAAAGTCATTATCAGGGCGCTTTCTCCTCCTGGGCACCATTACCAAGGGAATACCATTTACAATGGTGGTAACTGTCATAAGTTAAAGCTACAAGACTTCTTCCATACTACTTGTGGTTTATAAACTGATCACAGATACTGGGTTTTTCCTCACTTCCTTCATTTCCTCAAAGTAACGGAGAAGGAGCCATTATTTCATAGCGACTTCTTCCTTCCCTGGGTCCATGTCTTTCTCTAATTATGTTGTTAGATCCTGTCGAAACCAGCCAAAAGGCACAGGGTCCCCGTTTCAAAGTGACTGAATGCTTTCCCATGCTCCTAACTGGAGAAGTGTTGAATTTCCTAACAGTAATCATGCATCAAAACAAAATGTAAGTGATACTTCAGCAGTAACATTAAAATCTGAGAGTGTGTTTTAAGACATTTTGCCCTCTCATAATAATTTCTAAAAAAAGCTAAGTTTAAATTATTGAAGCTCACAGCATCACGTTGCATACGGAAGCAAACCAGGTTCATTAAAAACAGAACACCTTATGACAGACCAGATGCCTTGCTGGATTATTTATTTAAAGAACCGAAATATACATTATGTACTTAAAGAAATACTGATAATATAACAAGCTTGGAACAAAACATTCCAAGTAAGATAATTCAAAACCAAGGAGAAAGGCCCACCTTTAAAAAAATACAGCAGCTGAAGAAAAAAGCTGTTTTAAATATTGTGTCATTTTTGTTTATTATTTAACTTTAGGCACTAATCAATGAAATATAAAGACAATTTTAGGTGAATTTCTACCACAATATGGTCAAGTTTCCATTCATTTTGCTTCCAGCCCACCTGATACGTAGCATCCAACATGACTCACAAATCAATTCAAATATTTACATTCCACCATTACAGCTTGGAGAGATAATAAACTCTGTGCCTATATTTAAACAAAAGCAGGCTCCCATTTCTACAAGCTGTTATACACGAACGGCACCTTGGGTTTTGCATGGGTTTCTCAGAATGGCAAGGGACCTCCTTTCTTGCAGGGCTCAGCATTCACCTGCATTAGCCATTGTTAAGCACCACGGATCTCAAAACCTCGTGTGCCAAATGTGTATGTACAGCTGCTGGACGCAGGATGCATCGATATAGAGGTAATGAATGGAAAACTGGGAAGGAGAAGCAAACCACACCGCCTGTATCTTACAGTCATCAGTTCCTGCCCCCACCATTAGATTGCACTTTTCAATATTCTTCCTTGCTCTACACCAAAGAAACATGAAAGAGAATAACACAACAGTAACGAGAATAAAATGCAAAATCTAATAAACACACATTAGGAGTGTGAAAAGCTTACGGAAAATGCATCTGAAGAAGTATTTCCAATCAGTACTCAGATAAAGCGACACTAAGATCTCCAAGACAAAAACCTGTAGAGTCAAAATGTGCTAAAGCGCTTTTACTGTAAATGCACAGCATCTCTGCTGAGCAGGATACAATTCCCAGGTGTACTGAATTTCCCTGCTACAACACTAACTTCTAATGTCTGTTATCTCATGGAGAATGTATGCCTGTAAGCACCATTAAACTCTTGTAGCCCGCTCAGTAAAGTACGGATTCCAAAACTGAGTGGGGAGAGGGAACGGCAGGACCGACAGCACCTTGATCTGGTGTGTGGACGAGCCAGTCTGGCTATCGGGACCGTCAAACCAGCAACAGCAAAGCAGCCTCTTGTGCCCGTGAGGAAAACAAAAGGAGTAAAAATTCCACGATGAGTCTCTAGTATACACAGTACAAATTATCTTACCCTCTTTCTGGAGAGGTTTCAGAGCAAACAGGTAGGCCCTTAATGGGCCTACCATCACTTTTAATAAGTGATGGAGACAGCTTGCGTGCAGCAACGCCTGCAGGATCCGGAACCTGGGTATGTTAAAAGAGGCTGACTAAACTCACCAGTTTTTATCCTGCACTCCTTGCCCCAAGGATAAGAACACATGAATGTTATACACTCCTGTATACGTTAGCAGACCTTAAAGCACTTTACAAATGAAGCCATTGATGAATGTCTGTTTTGCAGGTGGTAAAAGTATGACAAAGTGACTCGCCCAAACTCATCCAAGCAGGACAGCGGCAGAAATGGCAATAAAATTTGGGACTACTGAGGCCCTGTGTAGTGCATTATCCACTAGGAAAAGTATTGCAGGGCTTTATAAATGGAGCCTCCCTGCAAACTGCTTGGCTGAAAACTGTCTTCTGCAATGGTTAGACGTATTTTAAATTGCCAGAGATTTCAAACACGTACCCATACCAAAAGGTGCACCCACTAAAGAAATAAGTAAAGAAGCTACAGATCTAATCTCTGTGATCTGCAAAGATTTAGGCCAAAAGTTTTTATTCAGCAGCTTGTAAACAGGCTCCCACTGAAGATCCACAGAGGCACAGCACAGTCTGCCAACAGGCAGCCAGAGATGAAGATGTAAATGCTACATTTGTCTAGATTAACCAAGCAGAAATGTAAAAAACCATCTCAAATAAAGTACTTCCGTGTTTTTTCAGTACACTACAACCTTTCGTTAAAAGCCTAGGTCCATCTGCTGACTATATGGCCCCTGGAGAGTAGTTCAAGTAAAGACGCATACAAATTTCAATTCAAGGCTTAAGGTCTTAAAACTTACAGCATGATTACAAAGACAACAACACAGGCAGAAAGGCAGCTGTAAAGTTGCATCTGTGGTTTCTAACTCAAAGCACACTTCTCCAATTTGACTAAGCTGGTCTCCGGCTTGGTTTTATTCTGGATACCGATCAGCTAGATGAGTCCAACTATTGACATTAATACCAGGGTATAAAATTTGCAGTTGAAATAAAGCTGTACGCATGAATTTGAGGACAAAACTTGCATAAACAGTAGTGAGCTCTTCACATTAGATTTCTTCTTATTGCTTCGCCAGGATCAGTACAGGTACTACTCTGGCAATTTATCCCAAGCAGTGTAAATACATAACAGTGATGCTATCCTGTACTCACCACATTGGGAAGAGACAGAGCTTTCTATCAATATCGACACTTCATTCTGGAAGTGTTACAGCTCACAAATCCCTCCAAAATCACCAGAAGAGTGGCAGGGGGGACACTATATAACTTCAGGGAGTTGTTTTCAAAGTACTACCAGAAGAATACTATTCCCCCACGGCCAACGACAGCACAGATGACCAGCGCTGGAGCTCACAGCGTTTGGGGACGTCAGTACCAGACCCGGCGGGTAACCCCCGACGGCCGCGGTCAGCGCAGCGCCCTGCACGTCCGCACACCCCGGCCAGGGGGTCCCCCCTTCCTTCCCCTCCCCACCGACTGCCCTTGCCTCAAACCATCCCTCCCCGCTCCC